CCCTGGCATGGAGCTGGCGCTGCCCCTTTCCTGGTATCTGCTCTGCGTTTCCCGGTTTGGTAAGTTTTGTATCCTGTTAAGTTTTGTGTCTCTTCCTCCTCAGCCCCCCTCCTTCCTCCTCCTTCCCTCTCTGTGAGTTTCCTCTCCTCCCCAACCCTATGCTTTCCTGGAGCTTCAGCTGCCGGCTACTCACTAACAGTAGCGGACAGAGGAAGGGATCGTAGATGGGTGCCGCGGGGGGCATAGATGCAACCGTCCCACCCAACGATTCTGTGCAGGATGTGATCAACTCGATTATATATTGGAAAGACATAGACTGCGCCATCGATCGATCGGTCTGGTCGGAATATCGGATGGCGTCGCGTGCTGGCATAAACAATACGATGATATGATCGGATGATCTTATCATGCGTTTTATTTAAAAGATTGTTGCATCAGAACGGGCCGATTGGGGATAAAAACGATATTTCGGGTCTTGTTTTCCATTGATTGATCGATTTCGGTTGTATGGAAGCCATTATGGTTGCCATACACGGAGCGATGATATATACGATCGTATTTTCAATCGATTTGCCGAGTGGGAGAAAAGTTCCGGAAAAGTTTGGACAACACTCACGATCGTATTTTTGTACGATTTGACGACAGGGGTAGAAGTTGCGTTGCCAGTCGTATCTTACAATCTCAGTTAATCAATTGATTGTAACTTTTATTCCAGTTGGCAAATCAATCGGAAACACGATCGATTAAACGCCAACGCGTAAATGACATCGTAAGATGAAATCGGGATCGGAACTTTTCTCCCACTCGGCAACTTGATCGTATATACAATCGCCTTTTGTATGGAGTGATTGCACATATTTTTTGATCCATTTGGCGACTGGGGCAGAAGTTACGGCGCCAATCACATCTTACAATTTCATATCTGCGTCGGTGGTTAATCAAACGTCTGATCGGAACTTTTCTTCCTGTTGGCAAATTTCTCGCAGATGGCAGAAGTTACGGCGCCAATTAATGTCTGCACCGGATAGATAGATGAATAACAGATAGACAGACAGAGCTAGAACGAGAGAGAGAGAGAGAGAGAGAGAGAGAGAGAGAGAGAGAGAGAGAGAGAGAGAGAGCTGAACGATAGATAGATAGATAGATAGATAGATAGATAGATAGATAGATAGATAGATAGAAAACTATAGAGAGAGAATGAGAGAGAGAGAGATAATGAGAGAGATGGAGAGCAAGAGAGAGAGAGAGAGTACGCTAGATAGATAGATAGATAGAGAGAGAGAGAGAGAGAGAGAGAGAGAGTGAGAGAGAGAGAGCGAGAGAGATAATAAGGGAGAGAGAGCGAGATAATAAGGGAGAGAGAGAGAGAACGGTAGAGAGAGAGATAATGAGAGAGAGAACGATAGATAGATAGATAGATAGATAGATAGATAGATAGATAGATAGATAGATAGATAGATAGATAGATAGATAGATTAACCTTCAAAACAGAAATGAATTAGTAAGATGTAATCGACATTGTAATTTTTGCCCCAGTCATCAGATTGAGTAGAGATACCGTCATATGTGCAATTTCTCTATGTGTGGCCCTACACAGAGCAATCATATATCTGGTCGTATTTTCGGTGGAGTATCAATATTATATACAGTATATGATCATTTTTTGATTTATTCGCAGAATGAGAGACGCGATTTAATGGGACGATCTATTACCAGGCAGGAATATAATTGTACGTTGTGATTGAATCGGCCCATTTCCATCCTTTCTGTTGTCATAAATTGTTTAAACAGAAACGCATGAAAAAGCTAATTGATCGGCTTCATACACAACCGTCGTATCGTTTTACCCATTTTTATGCGATCGGATTTTTTCCACCCGGACTGATCATAATCAGAATTGATTGTGTTTGATATAAATCAATCGATTACACATTGTATGTCTTTTCGATAATGAATAGATTTGATCATATGATCTGTTTCCGCGAAGAGGCGCTCGGGCTGATTGTTGCGTGTATGACCACGCCATGGCGTGTACTGGTCACCGTTGTCACCGAGAAAGAAAGGGGAAATCTAAAATGTTCTAGCTAAATGCTTATTGACTCACCGCCTGGCTTCCTGATTGTCCAGCTTCCCGACCAATTAGTAAGCCAGGCAGCAAGTCATTACACGCCGCCCGGTTAACTGATTGGCCATGAAAACCAGCTCAGTGCTCCCTCACAACCAGGTGACGAGGAAGCATGAAGCCGGCTTTCTGGCCAATTAAGAAGCCGGGGGGCGGGTAATAACTTGCTGCCCGGCCTTCTGATTGGCCAGCTTCCCGACCAATCAGGAAGCCAGGCGGTGAGTCATTACACACCGTTCCGGCTTCCTGCTCCCTCGTCACCAAGACATTACCTGCCCCATGGCTTCCTGCTTGGCCGGGAAGCCAGCTCCATGCTCCAGCCCCTAGTGACGAGGGAGCATGCTGCCACCTTCCCAGCCAATCAGGAAGCCGAGCTAGGTGTGTAATGACTCGCTGCCCGGCTTCTTGAAACAGAAAGTTCTGGTATCGGAAGCATTCGACCAAGTACAAGTAATACTCAGTATCGGCACCAATACTAGTATCGGTTTCGGTGCATCCCTAATCATAATATACCAAAATGGAAACATCCAGATATGTGTTCCCTTTCTAAATGATCCGCAGACGTCATAAAGCGCGTCAGAGTTAAAACCATGAAAGTGTTTCTATAACGTTGATCACTATTTCATTTTATGTAAAGCTAGCCCATATTACTTATAATACATTGCTGGGTTTAAAAGCTGTTACTGGCTCTTTCCTTCCTACTCTTTGTTCCTTATAATGAAGGCCTGGCTGATTGACTGATCTGCTGTTCCGTTGTTTCCAATCTTTACCAGGCTTAAGTGGTGCCGCCGAACTGTACAGCACACTGGTGACTTTCCAGAATGAATCCATGGTGGAGAGTGGAGACACATGTCAAGGAATCGTCATCATATTCAGCAATGAGACTGGCAGTCTGGTATGGTTTCCAATGTTCTTTAGTTTTGGGCTAGATGCCGTATGGGTACTAAAAATTGCTGCAAATGAATCGTAGGTCTGGTGTCTACAGCCAAATCTAAAAAAATACTTGATATTAGGTAATTAGCATAATCATGTATGTTACCCGATCCTGCAGTAGACATATCTGGATGGAAAAGCTCTTCAAATTCATTAAGTTTTTCTTGAAAGTTTTCAGCATTACAAAGTTTTTAAGAACAAGTTTTAGTTGTGTGAATTTACGCAGTCCATCACCAAAAACAGAAACACTCCTCCTCGAACACTCTCCATCTACGCTAAACTGTGTGGATGGAGGAATCTCCCGCCGGGCCAAGCTTCAGTATCTTGCTAGTCGGCCCCGCTGGCTCTCAAAATACCTGAACAATCTGATTGGATGCCGGCATTGTTCAGGTGTTTTGACAGCCAACAGGGCTGACTAGCAAGATACTGAAGCTTGGCCCAGTGGGAGATTCCTCCATCCACACAGTTTAGCGTGTTGCACTTTTTAACTACATGGGAATTTATTAAAACTGGAGCAAAGAGAATCTGAAGCAGTTGCCTCTGGCAACCAATCGGCATCTCTCTTCATTTGGCCCAGGTAAGATTTGAAAATGAGAGAGAGAAGCAGATTGGCTGCAGTGGAAATCTGCTTCAGTTTTGATAAATTCCCCCTATGGTGTTAATCAACAGTGGTTCAACTCGGGGAGTGTTGGTGCTATATTGTGCTAAGGAAAGGTGGACAGGTGAGAGAAGAGAAATCTTGTAGTATGGAGTAGAGCCTTAGCCTAAGTAACCTCACAGAGGGATTGATGGATATGAGGAGATGGGGTAAGGTCCAGTGACGGGTAGGTTGTGTGTGGTGATGTGAGTTAAATCAAAAAGATCGAACAAAAAAGCTAAGTTAGAAGATAGGGTCAGGTTGGGGAGAATTTAACGTGAAGAGGAGGCGGAGGGTGGGGATTGGATGGCAAGCTGGGAAATGGGTCCATGTCAACTTGTGTCCCTATGCGGGTTGTTGGTTGTGCTTCAGGGGAAAATCTATGTGTCTGTGGTCAGTTTTAGGATTTTTTAAATCTAACTTGAAGTCTATAAAGCTGAATTCTGATTGGTTGATTAGGACAATGCCTATAATGAGATAATGAGTTATACATAAGGATTTATAGATAAGTGTCAGTGAGGTTTACTTGGTTGCTCAAATAGTTATATTTATTTGTGTGAATGTTTTTGTTCGTGCTTTTCTTTGAGTTTGTGTTTTTTAGCCAGGACTTTGTCAAACTGGCCATACACTTAATTTTTTCTCATTCACCCTCACCTTGCTAAAAAGTGTACATAGGGGAACCCCCCCTCAGCAGGCTATTGTAAAACTCAGCCTCTCTCAACCTAGATGCTGTGGCACCTTGATGTGCCTTCTGGATTCCTCAGGGGTGCCTCAAAATGTTTTGGTAGTGGGACTGTGATGTGAAGTGGGAATGAAGATTGAGGTGAAGTGGGCTCCAGATGTAAAGGGGCAACTCCGATGTGAAAGGGGAGCTACTGATGCAAAGGGTGACTCCAATGTGAAGGGGGCGGGGGAATCTTGATTTGAAAGGGGCACTTTGATGTGAAGGGGGAAACACTCTACTCAAAGCTGGCCATAAATCACTCAAACTTTATCCTGCTAACTCGGTCGAAGTTCATGTGGTCTCATGACCTCTCAGGATCCTTCAATGTTCCTCACGGCAGCCCATACGTTATCTGACACTGTTGCATGTGTAATTTTTCAAACAATTTTTTGACAAAGGAAATTGTAATTGTCTATGGAAAAAATTGTCATGCAGGATATTACATAGTTACATAGTCAGGTTGAAAAAAGACACAAGTCCATTAAGTTCAACCTATAGAGATAAGAGAAAAAACAGAGAAGATTGACCATCTAAAGACTCGGCCACAAGTCTAGTGAGCACCATCTTATTTCTGTAGCTAGCCATAGGATGGGATAGCTTACTTAAAAGAGAACTATGGGGTAAGTGTTTTTCCCCATAGTTTTCTTTAGGGTTACGGGAGGACATATACTAACCTCCTCCCGTGACCCAAAGCTCAATATATTGCAGGCTATTGCCTGCTATATACTGAGAGCGGCACAGCTGGGACAGATCCCGACAATGCTGTCGAGATCCACCCAGCTGTGTGAGTGACAGCAGGCTCTGCCTATCTAGAGGCAGAGGCAGCTGTGCCCGCCTCTTCCCCTCTTCCACTCAGCGCTGGAGGATTGGAGAGGGGAGGGGGGTATCCCTGCGGAGAGTGGTGACTGGCAGTCACCACTCACTTTAGGGAGGCGATCGGCAAGTGAGCGGATCGACTGCATTTTTCTGCTCACTTCCCGATTGATAGAGCTGACCTGTGGCAGCTTCTTTGTCACACGTCGGCTCTAACTATGAGGATGAGTGGAAATCACTCACTTCATAGTCCTCCTTTAATGTATTCCTAAACATTTCCCTACAAACTGTTGGAGAATAGAACCCAGAACAGTGAAGCACAATGCATGTTATACTATTCCACAAAAAACAATGGACTTTGCCATCCAAATCTTGAGCGCAGGACCTAGTCCTGGTCATTTATTAAAAGATTCTCCAGTTTATTTATACTGTTCTGATCTGTAATGAGGAAATCCCCCTAATGTAAGATCCAATGATGGATGGATTTAGGGCAGATACTTGTCTTGTGTACCGTCTTAAGTGGTGAGAACGGGAACATTCCGCAGACAATATAAAAGGTCTTGTGGTCCTCTAATAAATAAGGAATGTAAACTAAAAATAGTTTACTTTAGTACTAAGTGGATGTCTAATCCCGGGACTAACTTACTAAAGCCCAAATTACTTTTCATCAAGAATCCTGTTTGCCAGCTACTTTAAAAATTACATATATATCCTTTTCATGTCCTTAAACGGTGAAAACAATTTTGCCTCATCATCTGCTAAATTTGGATATTTTAGCTCACTGTAAAACCTCAGTCACAGTCAAAACGTTTTTGTTTTGTTCTGGATAGAGTGGGGAAGCATTAGAATTTCATATAATGTTGCTGTCTGTGATGTCATTGGGGATGTATTTGTCCTGGTGATGCTAGGCAGTGGCATCACAAGGGGGGCGCGGCCCGCACTCGGTGCCACCATTGGAGGGGGGACACCAAAATGATTGACAGTCATTTTGGTGTCACTCCCTATGAAAAGTCAGTCACTCGGTCATGGACTGAGAGCCCGACAGTGTCAGGAGAGAGGAGGGGACCCGGCAGCATACCTCATCCTGCCGGGTGAACGTCCCCTCCTCTCTCTGCCGGTGTCCATCACCAAGATGGCCACCAGCAAATGTCAATAAGATGAACGTGCTTGCGTTGCGACATCACGCGCATACGCGATGACATCACGGCGAGGTGTCATCCAGACATGGGACGCCCCTGATGCTAGGTAAATAAAAAAACTGTCCCCTGGACAGGAAGACACAGACAGGAAGTAAAAAACTTGATAAAGATTCTAACGCTTTGTCACTTTGGTAAAAAAGGGTTGTTGCTGCTGAGCTGTGTCTGTTCTAATTACATATTTTTGCCCATCACCTGTCTGGACGTCTACCGGTATTGGAAGGTTGATTGTGTACCATGGGCCAGAAAGAGACTTTATTTTAAAATAATTTCCAAATATATGGCATGGTCAAAAGATTATGGACACCTGACCATCACGCCTACTATATGGCCATAAGTATGTGGACACCCTTCAAATTATTCAATTCGGTAGACAGACAATTTAGACATTTGTCCAACATTGTGACAGTTTGGGGATGGCCCATAGACACGTAAGCTGCAAAAAAAATTGGTTCAGTTCGGATATTTTGTTATTTCGGGATTCGGGTCCAAAATTTAATTCGGTTCGGAGTATCGGATTCGGACGAAATCTGAATTTGCGTTAGTTTCGGATGAATTTACGAACTGATATTCGTTTGCGACTACCACAGAAAACCATATACAGATATTAATATTAAAGCTGAAGCTCCTAGATCCGAATGGCATTCGGAAGTCTGAATTTCCGAATAGCATTCGGGAGCTCCCAAAAGCAACATGGGTCTGGGATACATATACATACATAATATGAGCTGAGGCTTCCAGAAATGAATGGAGCTCCTGAATGCTATTTGGAAATTCGTACTCCATTTGGGTTTTGGAGCATCAGCTTTAGTATTATGTATACATAATTAGTATTCTGTAGTACGAACGAACATTCGTTGCGGCAACATTGGGAACCATCTATACATCAAAGTAAAGCTGAGGCTCCCAGACCCGAATAGCATTCGGGAGCTCCGAATGCAATTCAGAAGTTCGTAAACGGAAATTTGGATTCGGATACATTCAGATGCATTGGGATTTAGAAATTCGGATGTGTCCGAATGTCCGAATTTTGGAAAATCCATACGAATTTTGATTCGGAACTAAACGAATCGCACATGTCTAATGGGCCGTTTCTGTTCCTGCATGACTGTAGACCTGTGCGCAAATCTAGGTCCATAAAAACATTCTTCGATGAGTTTAATGTGCAGGAACTCAAATAGCCGGCACAGAGCCCTGACTTCAACCCTACTGAGCACATTTGGAAACATCCAAAATCAGTACCTGACCTCCCAAATGCTATTTTGGCTGAATTGGTACATATTTCCACAAATACACTTCAAAATCTTATGACAAGCCTTCCCAGATGAGCGAAGGCTGTTGTAATCACAAAGCGTAAGCAAACTCTCATGGTTGCCCATGGATTTGGAATAGAATGTCCAATCAGCTCATAGGTGCCCAGAAACTCTTGACCATGTAGTGTATGGGGTTCAGGTAGTGAAAGTCACTGGGCCTCAAGTTAGTAAGTAAAGAATGCTTCAGATGCTTACTTGCTTGAGGTAAGCTGGTAAACATATTGTTACCGACAGCAACCAATAACCCTCTCCCTTTCATTTAGCAATATGGTGACTTGC